GGCTCCCACCTCTTGCCCGGCGGCGTGTTCTTGCAGCAATCAAGCCAGTCGGGTGATTTGCACCCGGCGAGAACTCTTGGAGGTGCCCAGCAGTATTTCGGTCAACACCCGGTACTTAAATTTACAGGAGAACCACATCCAAGTCATCCGCACCGACACCTTCAAACACCTCCGGCATTTGGAGATCCTCCAGTTGAGCCGCAACCTGGTGCGCAAAGTGGAGGTGGGCGCCTTCAACGGCCTCCCCAACCTCAACACCTTGGAGCTCTTCGACAACCGCAGGTGCCCAGCAGTATTTCGGTCAACACCCGGTACTTAAATTTACAGGAGAACCACATCCAAGTCATCCGCACCGACACCTTCAAACACCTCCGGCATTTGGAGATCCTCCAGTTGAGCCGCAACCTGGTGCGCAAAGTGGAGGTGGGCGCCTTCAACGGCCTCCCCAACCTCAACACCTTGGAGCTCTTCGACAACCGCTTGACCACCGTCCCCACCCAAGCCTTCGAGTACCTCTCCAAACTGCGGGAGCTGTGGTTGCGCAACAACCCCATCGAGAGCATCCCTTCCTACGCCTTCAACCGCGTCCCTTCCCTGCGCCGCCTGGACCTGGGCGAGCTCAAACGCTTGGAATACATCTCGGAAGCGGCTTTCGAAGGTTTGGTCAACCTGCGCTATTTGAATTTGGGGATGTGTAACCTGAAGGAGATCCCCAATTTGACGGCGTTGGTGCGGTTGGAGGAATTGGAACTTTCGGGCAACCGGTTGGGGCGCGTGAGGCCGGGTTCTTTTCAAGGGTTGGGGAGTTTGAGGAAGTTGTGGTTGATGCACGCCCGGGTGGCGGCGGTGGAACGCAACGCCTTCGACGACCTCAAAGCGTTGGAAGAGTTGAATTTGGCCCATAACGAGCTGGCCTCGCTGCCCCACGACCTCTTCGCCCCGCTGCACCGCCTGGAGCGGGTTCACCTCCACCACAACCCTTGGCGGTGCGATTGCGACGTCCTGTGGTTGAGTTGGTGGTTGAGGGAGACGGTGCCCAGTAACACCAGTTGCTGCGCCCGCTGTCACGCGCCGCCGGCTTTACGGGGTCGTTATTTGGGCGAACTGGAACCGGGGCACTTCACCTGCTACGCTCCCGTCATCGTGGAACCGCCGGCCGACCTCAACGTCACCGAAGGGATGGCGGCCGCACACAAGA